TCAGTGGTGCTGAAATTCAGAGTTCACTACAGATGCAAAGTCATTGCTATCTTTGACAGATGAGACAATAAACCGCTGAAAACTCATGAGACCGTTTAATCCCACACGGCCGGGTCCACTCTCCTCTCTCTTTTAACCCTTTCGATCCCCCACCAGGGCCGGACTGGTCCTCCCAACCGCTCTTGTACTTCCAAACATCAAACCGCTCCCAGCTTGGTACCCGCTGGACCTCAGCAGTCACAGTGGCGACCTCTTTCAACTCCCTGTTCTCTCTATCCTCCTACCAAAGGGCTTTTGTGCATGCTCAAGAGGAAGGGGCCAACCGAGCCTTTTGTGGGCTGGGCTCCCAGAAAAAACCGAGCCCGGCACGCTGCCAGGCTCTGGGGAAACTGGCGGCGGCCCCGTGTTTGAAGCGATCACTCCTGATCGACCCTCAAGGCTTGGACCTCGGCCCCTAGGGACCACGTCAGGGGAGGGCCCGGCACCACCCAAGCAACACACCCTGGGCAAAGTCCTACTGATCTCACCCCAGGGCAGGGGCTGGGGCTTCTCGAGTTAACTGCAGCTTGAAAGTCCCAGAGCTCAAGGGTCACAGTCCCCCACCCGGTGGGACTGCCCTGGCAGAACGCTGAGCGTCACTCCAGGGCGTGACAGGAGCAGGTGACCCCCATGCACCTGCTACTACAGAGCCTGCGAGCTTTCTGGTCATCACTGCTGCAGCGGCTCTGGGCTTCACGCGCCAGGTCTGGCTACTGGCCTTCGCCCCTGTCGGATCTATCCGGCAAGTTCTGCACGTTCGTGGTCAAGTTCATTCATGCTTAGATCTCGGCCCCACTATCAGCTCCTCAGGGACCCTTCCCTGACCTCCTAAATTAGATCGAACCACCCAGCATAAACTCAGATGGACCTTTGTACTGTGTTATGGTGTTATGCTTGGTCTACAGGATTACTTAATTAGCCTCCATCACGCCCCACAATTAGACTGTAAACTTCAGGAGGGCGGGAACGATGGGAACTCGTGCTGATTGTTTCATCTCCATCGTCATCTGACTCAAAGTGCCACAGCACACAGGAGACTGGACAAGGCCCGTGGGGGTTTGTGAATAGATGGACGAACGGCATGGACGTTTATCAGCATGGTGAGCAGTGAGGCAAACTTGTTGGTTACACGCTAGTCCAGGGGTCCTCAAACTTTTTAAACAGGGGGGCCAGGTCACCGCCCTCAGACCGTTGGAGAGTGCGCACTGTGGGCCCGGGACCAGCCGGCTGCTAAGCAGGACAGGCAGCGGCGGCGAAAACACCCGGCGAGGCCGGATAAATGTACTCGGTGGGCCACATGTGGCCCTCGGGCCGTAGTTTGAGGACGCCTGCCATAGACAATGGGGCCAAGTATTGCAATTGTGAAGTTTCCCATTGGGGAATCTTTTCTCAGGATCAAAGAAGCGACTGATCCTTTCAGCAAACACACTACTGCACAAAATATTATCAAGTAAAGCTATTCATAGACTATATTTATATAGAGAGATAAAGACTGCTTTTAAGAACTATTGTTTTTTTTTTACTTAAGGAAAATGTAAATGATGTTTTTATAATGCTAACTGAATGTCCTGCCCACAAAAAAAGTACTGTTTAGTTTGCTCAACAACATTTTTTCTTTTATGCATCAGAGATCGAAACTTGTTAAGCCCCAGCCAGCTCATTCTAACAGTCAGGTCTACCGTGTCCGGTGAGATGGAACCGTAGGCTTGTGTCTCCATCTGACTGAGAATCCAAACAACTGAGCCCAGAAGCTTCTCGCCTATGTTCCTGTCGCTCCAGTCACTGTGACAAAACTGACTTATTCTCTACGGGAAGCAATTCGCTGAAATGATACTTTAATAATAAATATTTACAGTGGAATGTCCGGTTTGTAGTCATTTATAAATGATAGCACCACTCACTACCGTTTAACCACAATTATCCCCTATAAAGATCTAATGAAATAATCCAACAAGTTAAAGTACAGTGTATCTGTACCACCAAGTTAACCTCTACAAAGTAATCGTTCTCAGCAACTGTGCTCAAATCTTTTTATTTTGTTGCTCATCGTGAATCCAATTTGGGGCAAAGGTTAAGGGAAATGAGAGAAAATTTACTAAAATTAAATGTGGAAGCATGATTAAGTATTATTATCTTCTTATAAGCTTATGATATACATGCACAGAACTACTTGAGTTTTTTTTTTCTATTGCAATTTTTATTTTTTTTTTATTTTGAAGTATCACAGGGTATATATGTTTTGGGTTCCATGGCCTGTTACCCAGATAGAAAAATATGGAACGCTTCATGAATTTGCATGTCATCCTTGTGCAGGGCCCATGCTAATCTTCCCCCTATCTTTCCAATCTTATTAGTATATGAGCAGCCGAAGTGAGCACCTAGCTCAAGCATATACTCTCAGGAGACTTCAGAAGTCTTATTCTTCTCGCTAATAAAACACAGCAGAACTCACCTTTGACTCTGTCTAGGGTAAAACCAAGCTCTCTACCTTACTGCCTAAAAAACGCTGAGGGCAAATTAGCTCTGAACCTGTAACCCCAAAGGTCTTTGAAAGTCTGTGTGACCCTCTCTCTTGTTTTGTCATGGTCCTTGGGGTAAGGAGGACAAACACCTTGCTTTCTTCCGGGATAGCAAGACCACGTTCTTTCCCTGCCTGGGTTCCTGTAACCCAAGAGTGTCCAGAGGAAATCCACACAGAAAGGGGGTTGGTGCCATGCTCCCTCCTTCTATAAACACATGGCCACGGCTTATCGAGAGATTTCAGATAGCGACAGCTCCACACATCACCGACAATCCAACCCCAACCAGGACTTGTGGGGAAGGGGAGGTGGATTAACAACTCAATCAGGGTTAAGGACGCCTAAAAGCCCACAAGCCAACAATACGTGATCACTAACCTTAAGCAGTTCGACAACTTAGCTTTACTCTGCGTGGCCTCTGGTATTCTTGGAAACATGACACAATATCCAAAGAGAAAACACATTCTGGTTTATACAGTTAAAAATCTGCAAACAACAGCACTTCTGGGTTTTTATTTCTAAACCTTATGTTAGATTTCCTATCTGGAAAAGGACCTTAGAGATCATCTGGTCTCACCATCCCCATTTTAAAGAGTGGGAGAGGCCGGGTGCGGAGGCTCACACTTGTACTCCTAGCACTCTGGGAGGCCCAGGTGCGAGGATCGCTCAAGGTCAGGAGTCTGAAACCAGCCTGAGCAAAAGCGAGTCCCCATCTCTACTAAAAATAGAAGGAAATTAATTGGACAACTAAAAATATATAGAAAAAATGAGCCGGGCATGGTGGCGCATGCCTGTAGTCCCAGCTACTCGGGAGGCTGAGGCAGGAGGATCGCTTGAGCCCAGGAGTCTGAGGTTGCTGTGAGTGAGGCTGATGCCACGGCACTCACTCTAGCCCGGGCGACAGAGCGAGACTCTGTCTCAAAAAAAAAAAAAAAGAGTGGGAGAAATTGTCTAGGGTCACAAGGAGAATTCAAGAGGAAGCTGAACCTTGTGCCTTATGACTATCCCTCATTATTAAGAAACGCTATTTTTCCATGAGGAAATTCGTTTGACTCGGCAATTTAATCCAAATGATGGCAATACTTAGCTCAAACCCACCCTTATCCTGTATCAGTTGCTAATGATCACATCATCAACAGACATTAAGAACATTGCTCTTCAGAACTACTGCCTGGGAATGTTTAAAGATCTATTTATTCCAAGAACAAGAAACAACCCGATAAAATTCAGGAGAGAGGCTAGATCTAATTTTAGTTTTCTGTTCTGATAGCTTCATAATCAATGATGACTACTTTGAAGAACTTGCTTATCGCTGAATTGAAAACTAGACAGAGGGAAAAAGGATGATCATTATTAAACAGGCCACCGTAGACACACTACTATTTACGAATGAATGCAGAATTTGTGTAAAAACAGACATCGCCATAAATCTGACAGCACAACAAACTCTAGAATCACAACAGGCCTTCTCTTTCCTCCTCTGGGAGAATTACGGGTGAATATATAAGCACAAGATGTGGGCCGCTGGCAGTGGCTCACGCCTGCAATCCTAGCACTCTGGGAGGCCGAGGCGGGAGGATCGCTCGAGGTCAGGAGTTCAAAACCAGCCTGAGCGAGATCCCGTCTCTACTAAAAATAGAAAGAAATTAATTAACCAAGTAAAAATATATACAAAAATGACCGCATGTGGTGGTGCATGCCTGTAGTCCACAGCTACTCGGGAGGCTTGAGGCAGGAGGATTGCTTGAGCCCAGGAGTTGAGGTTGCTGTTGAGCTAGGCTGACGCCACGGCACTCACTCTAGCCTGGGCAACAAAGTGAGACCGTCTCAAAAAAAAAAAAAAAAGAGAGAAATAAATCAAATGGGTGCTCAGCAAGCATGTTTTCTAAAGTACGTTAATAGCCTGATAAAAGGTTTGGATGATATTCTTTACCCTCCGTATTAAAGAGTTTCATGTCCCTACCTCCTTCCTATCATCAGAATTTTAGGTTGCTCGGTGACTGCAAAAAGGAAGGGTGGTAAAAGACATAATTCAAAGGGATAACCGTGAGAGGAACAGTAATACTATTTTAACTTCGAAACTGCCCCAGGCCTGACTGCGTGTTCTCACCACGCCCAAGCTGCGCTCTAGCTTTATGGCATCGTAAAGGGAAATGTATTTGTTCCTTATTACCAGGGCCAGAGAGCACATTCAGCGACAATAAACACTGGATAAACTCCTGGGCACATCCCAAGTGAAAGCAATACCAAGCTATAAAACATGAAATGCACAGGTGTCCTGAAATTAAAATATCTGCTTTCTAGATTAAAAAAAAAAAAATCCCACAATTCTCCCCTAATAAGAACTCTCAAATATATATATACACACACATATATATAAAAATGGCCAGCACGGATTAAATGTGTATTTCATATTCTCATGAAAGAGAAAAAAAAACTCACCCATAAGCAACCCCTGCAATGGTGCACTTCTTAAACTGCATGACATTGCATGTCAGAGTGCCGGTCTTGTCAGAAAATATGTATTTCACCTGGAAGGAAGTTTTACCATTTCTCATTAATATTGCAGAAGTCTTTTTATGCCAGTCTTTTACAGAGGAAAAAAAAAAATCCCTTAGATTGTACTTTGTTACATTTTACATTTTGTTACAACTTTGTTACATTTTAGGGACACAACGAATGCTATTAACCGAATACTTTCTGCACATTCATCGAGGAATATATTCAGCTATTTTTTTCATTTTAGCAATGAATCATTTTATGTATGAATACTGAAGACTATCAACATATTAGGAAAACCATGTTACATAGAAACATGCCTTACTATGGTCTGAATTTCTACTAAAAGGATTTTAGTAGATTTTAACTGTAGATTTTAGTAGATTTTAACTGAATTTCTACTAATTTACCACTATGTAAATTTACGGAGCAACAAGACCTCTATCGGTTTTTCTCAAGCACGACGAGCGATTGTAGGATTGGTGACGGTTTGTGCGATTAACTTCATGCAACATCCGAATTGGTAAGAAAAAGGATAATTCTGGACCAAACGCTATTTGAAGAGTAAGAGTTGGGATAAGGCAACGGCACAGAAAAGAAAAATCTTTTTTCAGCTAGCATGTGTAAATGGATTATAAATATCCATCTATGGGAACATAGTGTGATTTATAAATCTAAAATTCCTATTTGACTAGACTCACACAACTTCACGGATGAACTTGAACTTCTCCTTCCTTCTTGGTTGAAAGCTATGAACCATTCTAATACTGTATGTAAAAAACAGCCAATATTTTACATACTAATCAGACCATATACTGAGGGACATTTCTAGGCTCATTAAGTACCTTACCCTGAGAGCAAAATTCTGCTTTAGATAGTGTTTTTAAAACTTCATTTACTGAAAAGGAAAAGTGTTACTAACAAATATATTTTTGCTGATTATTCAAATAATGGAAAATTATAAGCTGTCTGCTCCTTTGAAGTTGCTACGTTTAGCAGATACTACACGGAGTCTGATTTCTAAATCATCAAACAGCAACAAGAGCTGGGCGCGGTTGCTCACGCCTGTCATCCCAGCACTCTGGGAGGCCGAGGCAGGAGGATCACTTGAGGTCAGGAGTTCGAAACCAGCCTGAGCAAGAGAGAGACCCCCATCTCTACTAAAAATAGAAAGAAATTAGCTGGACAACTAAAAACATATAGAAAAAATGAGCCGGGCGTGGTGGCGCATGCCTGTAGTCCCAGCTACTCGGGAGGCTGAGGCAGGAGGATCGCTTGAGCCCAGGAGTGTGAGGTTGCTGTGAGCTAGGCTGACACCACGGCACTCACTCTAGCCTGGGCAACAGGGTGAGAGTCTGTCTCAAAAAATAAAAAATAAAAAAAAAAATCAACAAGAAATGCCGTTTACCTGGCCAAGTTCCTCGTTCAGATTAGATGTTCGAGCCATAGCAGCAGTGTCTGTGGGTTCATAGTGCATGTCCAGATCCTTAAAAAAAAAAAAAAAAATTCAGTAAAATAAATCACTGAATACAACTGATAATAAGGAATGGGGTGAAATTTTAAAAGAAAATAATCCATATGATTAACACCTTCAGTGTTTAGTGAGTCACTCTTTAACCGGTGAGTTAGATGTCATCACTCTTATTTCTTGTCATCCCTGTACCATTTCACTTGATTCTTCTGAAAATACTCAACGTCGAATATTGTATTTCCCAGTAAAGTCAGAACAGTATGTATGGTGGTTAGTGCCTGCCTAAGAGTCATCTAGATTTACTATCATTCCACCATTCTCTGTATACACATCTTATTCCAAGCATCAAATAAGTTAACACACATAAAATGAATCCGAGGGCGTCTGACACAATGCAAGTGTTTAACAATGTGAGCTAGAGACATCAGCAACTAAATATTGCTCCAATAATTAGGTCTTTGAACCCCTGGAAAAATTACCCAAGGAATTCTATCTGCTTGTACTTTCTGGGCCAAGTTTCTTGGCACTGCATATAACTTGAAAATAAAACAAAGGAACTTCGCAAAAGCCAAACGAAAATGTATAGTTTCTTTATCTATGTGTACTTGCCTTGTGTACCCAGTAATCATGAGGCTTGAATATATTATCCTACAAAAACAGGATTTTCCATAGAATATCTTATTTAACAAGTCCCGGTTGTGGTTTACAGATTTTTCACGTCTCGAGTGAAAAGGCCGAAATCTAAATCAAAGCTGATCTAAAGCAAATCTAAATCAAAGCAAATCTAAATCAAAGCTGATCTCTGCCATGTCTGTATTCTGAACTAATCAGTATTCCTTCTGGAATAGGCTGTTGAGTTTAAGAGAGAGATTAAACAACTGGTTTATGTTTAGAGAAGAGGCATGATCAGAATGGAGATTAAGTAGACATAACATGAAATGAACAATGAAAGGAGATGGAAAATATTTAGTTAAGGAGAATAAGATAAGATAGACAAATCAACCATTAAAAAGTGGGCCAGAGACCAGGCGCGGTGGCTCATGCCTGTAACCCTAGCACTCTGGGAACGCAAGGCGGGCAGACTCCTCAAGGCCAGGAGTTCAAATCAGCCTGAGCAAGAGCAAGATCCCGTCTCTACTAAAAATAGAAAGAAATTAATTGGCCAGCTAAAAATATATAGGTAAAAAAAATTAACCGGGCATGGTGGTGCATGCCTGTAGTCCCAGCTACTCAGGAGGCTGAGGCAGGAGGATCACTTGAGCCCAGGAGTTGGAGGTTACTGTGAGCTAGGCTGACACCACGGCAATCTAGCCAGGACAACAGTGTGAGATTCTGTCTCAAAAAAAAAAAAAAAAAGTGGGCAAGACATGCAAGAGACATGAACAGAAACTTTTCAAAAGAAGACAGAGTAATGGCCAACAAATATATGAAAAAATGCTCAACATCTCTAATCATCAGCAAAATGCAAATCAAAACCACAATGAGATATCACTTAATTCCAGTAAAAATGGCTTTTATCGAAAAGTCCCAAAACAACTAATGCTGGGAGGATGCAGAGAGATAGGAACACTCCTACACTGCTGGTGGGACTGCAAACTAGTACAATAGTACAACCTCTATGAAAAGTAGTTGGAGATGGTGTAGAGATACCTCAAAGAACTAAAAATAGATCTACCATTTGACCCAGCAATCCCACTACTGGGCATCTACCCAAAAGGAAAAAAAAGACATTCTATAAAAAAGACACCTGCACTCGAATGTTTATAGCAGCACAATTCACAATTGCAAAGATGTGGAAACAACCCAAGTACCCATCAATCCATGAGTGGATTAATAAAATGTGGTATATGTATACCATGGAGTACTCTCAGCCATAAAAAAATGGTGATCTAGCACTTTGTACTGACTGGATAGAGCTGGAACCCATTCTACTAAGTGAAGTATCCCAAGAATGGAAACAAACACCACATGTACTCACCAGCAAATTGGATAATCGATCAACTACTTAGGTGCACACATGGAAATAACATTCATTGGAAATCAAGCAAGTGGGAGGAGAGAAAGCGATGGGTAAAATTCACCTAATGGGTACAATGACACTAGCTAGGTGGTGGGCACACTTATAACTTTGACTCGAACGGTATAAAAGCAATTTATGTAACCAGAACATTTGTACCTCCACAATATTCTGAAATAATAATAATAAAAAAGATAAGGTAAAGAATGAATAGGCATTGATGCCGAGCTCGGATATTTTGCAAGGCTATCTCATTTGAAAAACCAGATTAAACATTTTCATAAAAGATCCGCTGAGCAGAACAAGAATCAAAGGAAGACAGTTACTAATCTCATTTAATCAACACTAATCTCATTTACCAACGAGTAAAAAACAGCTACTAATCTCATTATACAGCTGCCTTATAAGGGAAGCCTTGAAACCTTCCCCGTCCATTTGTCAAGGATGTTATAAAATCTCTGTATGTTAGAAAGGTCCTTGAAAAGCTTGAGCCTGCTGGACTCATCCAACACTAAAATCAGATCCTTATTTGAAGTAAACACTATTTTTGAAAATCCAAATAAAAAAAGAAAGCTGTCGATGAGTTCTCTGACCTTCACAATGAGTTGCCTTAGTTTTGCTATGAGAAACTTCAATACATTTTAATTGTATTTGCATATATTTTGTTTATATTACACAAATTTTCTGTAACATTATCTCCTGCATGAAGTGGGCTACACCCACAGCTCATTTCAGATTTCTAAATTCCACTGATCTTTTACCAACGAATTGAGAGACTGACAGCTTTAGGTGGATCATTCATCACAAGAAGGTAACGAACAGTTGCATAAGTATCAGCGGTTATATTTTCTAAAATCCTAATACTCTTCCTATGGAAAGACTTTTAAATGCCATGAAAAAAAAGAAACATCAAAACGAACACCAAGATTTCTCAAAATAAAAGAAGCATTAAACTTTCTGGCAGATTAGGCCTGAGGATTTGTTTAATTTAGTCAAATAACTAGTCAATCATTTTATTTTTCTATATCTGAGCTCTGCGATCAGGCCTATTCTGTAAGAACAACAACGTTATTTTTTTTCCAACAACATTTGGGAAATGGATGTCCAAAATATTTTTTCCAGTATTCAAAAATATTTAAGAAAAAAAGTTAAGAAGAAAAATTTAAGCACAGCTGCAATGGTTTATAGCGTGGAAAAATAAACTGCAAAGATGAATACACATGTTACTAGTAGCAAATATAGCATTAACTGTAGAGTGCTTGATTATTTATGAAGCTCTTTGGTATGTCAAGAGATTCCTTGATCCATGCAACTACTATGCGACGCAGGTAAGGCATATTTTGCCATTCCCACGTTAGCGCCAAAGAAAATAAGTTTCAAAGAAGCAACTGAAGAACGTTTTACACAGCTAGTAAATTTTTAATACTAGACCCACACTCCGAATATTTTATGAATAACTCCAAACTCCTGGTTCTCCCTCCCTGATGAACACTATATATCCCAAAATAGTTTTCTTGCACTAGATACCTATTTCCCCCATGGTGTTTGCCTCGTAAACTTGCACGAGTCTGAAATGAGGGACCTCTGTGCTATAACGCTACCAGGCTCAAAAATGTTGTCTCGTATTCAAAAAGGTAGGTGTGATTAAGCGTTTTTCTCCCCGAGAGATGGAAAGATCCCACCGTAAGAAAAAAAACGACAAAATGAATGCGCAATGTGCTGACAAACAATAATTCGTATTTACCCAATTTATGAAGTAGGCCTGGGTAAATTTCACCACTTCTAACGTAACCAGCAAGCTGATAGGAATGAGATTGTTGAAAAGGATGATGAAGGTCAAGAAATTCAGTCCAAAATTATTGGCGCCACCATCTGTGGGGAGAATGTCAGTTGCAGTTTTAATAGTTTCTTTGCATTGACCAGAAATTTAGCGTAAGAATTTTCCACATGATACAGCATGCCCAGATAGTTAGAGAGGAACATTTTTCTGGTACTATCACATAATTCTCAAATGCATCTGTCAAGATGGAATTGCATTCTTTGTGTTCAATAAAAAAAAAAAAACCTGTATAATAGTACTAAAAAGTGAAAGTATTACCAAGTATCGCAAATCCGGTTCTAAATAGGAAGTTTAGATATTAAGTATACCACTGAGGGTTTATAAATGTAAAATCTCAACTGGGTAAATTACTTTTACATGAATTCTTAAAAGCATTTCTAATCAAAAGCATGCTTTAAAAGAAAACAGATGAAAAAGCAGCTTCAAAAACAATCCAAACTGTATGAGTACTATTCGGTCTCAGGTAAATTATTCTCCTAGGCAAATTATACTCTTTGTTCTCAACAATGAAAATAAAACAGCTACACCAAATATATTGTAAAGTATACGGAGAAACGAACTGATGGTAGTAGTAACAGTTCTCCTATTGAAATAATAAATCAATGACTATAAAAATAACTCGGAATGGCTGCGAAGTCAAATATGTGTAATAAAAAAACTTCAAAAAATCATTTTTTTTGCTGCAAGATCTTACTAGATTTTTTTTCACACTTTTGGAAATTAAGTATTTATTGGATAAGCATTTATCAGGTAGAAATGCAAACTCACTTCTTAGAAATATCGGGGGTGGGGTGGGGATTAATACCATAACAATAAAAGGATAAATGCTCCAAAAGGGAATTATTAAGTTTTTATTTGAGACAGGGTCTCACTCTGTTGACCAGACTAGAGTGCCATGGCATCATCATAGCTCACCGCAGCCTCCAACTCCTGGGCTCAGGCAATCCTCCTGCCTCAGCCTCCTCTGTAGTTGGGACAATAGGCACAGGCCTCCATGTCTGGCTAATTTTTTTAATTTTTAGTAGAGATGGATCTCACTGTCTTGCGCAGGCTGGTCTTGAACTCCTGGCCTCAAGCGATCCTCCCACCTCAGCCTCTCAAAGTGCTACAGTTACAGGCATGAGCCATTGCACGACCAAGGAAACTATTTAATAGCATTTTCTCCAGGCAAGATGACCATTAACACAGCACTCACTGCATTACTGAGTTCGAATGAAAGTACGTTCAGTTTAAACATTTTAAATTATGTGAACGAGTTTTGGTACACTTTACTTTAATAGATATACATATGTACGTATACATAGGTATGTGTATTTTATTATATCTTCCACACATACTCGACTCTATTCTTACCACATATGTAACCATTTATGTTAAAAATTATCATTGGCTAGGCGTGGTGGCTCACGCCTGTAATCCTAGCACTCTGGAGGTGAGGCGGGGGATTGCTTGAGGTCAGAAGTTGGAAACCAGCCTGAGCAAGAGCGAGCCCCGTCTCTACTATAAATAGAAAGAAATTAATTGGCCAACTATATACTATAGAAAAAAAATTAGCCGGGCTGGTGGCGATGCCTGTAGTCCCAGCTACTCGGGAGGCTGAGGCAGGAGGATCGCTTGAGCCAGGAGTTAGGGTTGCTGTGAGCAGGGCTGCACGCCACCACTCACTCTAGCCTGGGCAACAAAGTGGAACCCTGTCTCAAAAAAAAAAAAAAAAAATTGTAAAAGAATATCGTTCATTTATGTGATCACGTCAGGCTGTATTTAGCAAATATTTTAACTACTATGGAGTGCTTATTATATTTTCAAGGACTTGAACTTTTTAGAGGTGCTAAACATTTACTTACATTTTCTGGAATCCACTTTTAAAAAATAAAGATTAAATGCCCAGCTATCCTGGCAACCAGGGCTTCTCTTCAGAAGCAATAGGAAATCCCCCAAATCGAGATCGACTGCAAAGCAAACACACGTTTCAATAAAATGAGTGAGTGCCGTAGGCAGGGCACCGCTTACAGTTCAGATTGAGGTACCAGTCCTTTCCGGAATGCCTTCGATTCCACTCGGCCGCGCCCAGGGAGCAGACGAGAGACATGGCGATCAAGATACAAAATAAAATCAAAATCTGGACGTTGGTGATCCGCTCCACGTTGGACAGCTTGAGTGGCGGACTTGTCGAATTCTGCAAAAGGAGACGAGATGAGTAATAAAAATAGCCACGGACGATTTAGGAGCATGCACTCAGCATGCTCACGAGGAGGACAGAGTCACAGTATCCAGACTGGGGTGCACACATGAATACCGCACGAAACCCACGACAAATGTAAGGTATCCATGGTTAACTACCTCTTTTTGCGAAGGCCACTATACCACCCAAGCTTTATTATTATTGTTATTATTATTTTTAAAGAAAGTGAAACAGTAAGAAAGAAGAAGAAAAGGGAATTACATTCCTTCTGCAGACATAGGTTTTGGTTTTGTGTCGGGTAAGATGAATTCCCTGCCTGCTTGGGCAAACAGGGTATCTAGAAGGATCGACTTAGTGTCTTAACTCGGAAGAGAGCAAGAGAAGCCGGCCTGTGGGTGCACAACCGGCCAACTGGCAATTTCAAGGTATGGCAGCAACGTTTAAGGGATCTCTGGTCCCCAAATTTCTAGCGGCGTTTAGCAACTGTGTTTTACTGGACACACAGCGGACAATCGAGTGGTCCGGGCTACCAGGAATAACCAAGGCAAGTTTCCTCGTTTGTGTCTGATGACCCAGATGGTTAGGCGAGATCTGTGCTTGCCACAACACCCACGGGACAGAAAATCAAATGTCCTGACTACTATAAAAGGAGGATTTATGGAGATTTATGAATGACTCGGGGTAGAATCATTAACAACAGTCCCACCTGCCTGTTGACGACATCTTCGTGCCCCGTGAGAGCTCTAGTGCCCCACAGGAGAGATCGGGGCCGACGGTTCTAACTTCTTGCGACTCTAAAATAGAGTCGCAAGAAATTCAGGGTGGAATTTGGGTTTTGGAGAGTGAGGATGATGTTCCAGAAGAAGACGGCTTCACTCTATTTGAATCAATGGAGATTGTCGTAATGTGCTTAAAAAAAAAATAACACATCCTCTGAAAATAAGCCCTAGGGTGTCTTCTTGAGGAAAAATAAATACAAGACCCTGTCTTATTTTCAGGGAAACATGGTAATTTCAAGGCCTCGCTCACTGGAGTACCAGATGTGCAAAGGTATTAGCCCTTAGAGCAGTTTCACCGGGCATCATAAAACTGAGCTCCCTGTGCCCGTCTATCTACTGAACATTGATGGTCCTACCGTGTGGAGAAGCACCATAGGCACGGGTAAACATTAGCGCTTGGATGAATGCCGATGGCCAAAACAGCCTTACACATATAAATGCTATGAAATATGATCATCTGATTCGAAATATTTTTCTTCCAATTAAATGCATTTAATTAAATACATTTTAAAATTTGATCATTGCATTAAAACAATGAAGCAAATGCCCCATAAGGCAGAGCACTCACTGTTGCACAGGCAACTTGCAATAATCACTACAAGAGTCAGTAGATGCGGCCAACAGCCCGATGCACAAAACCATCGGGGGCTCATGTACCAGGTGATCTCTGGTGAGACTTCCCGGTGTTCCTGTGTATTCTGAGCCTTTCTTATTGAGATACCGTGTTATACCGAAAATAAGCCCTACCCATAAGATAAGGCCCAGTAGGATCTCTAAGCATGTGCGCCATAGAAGCCCTACCCCGAAAATCAGCCCTAGTGACGGGCGTGGCTATGAAAATCAGCCCTAGTGATGGGTGTGGCTATGAAAATCAGCCCTAGTGATGGGCGTGGCTGCGCAGTGCATCTGCACAACCCATGCGTGTCGTCGCAGAGTGGGAAAGAACACGAGCAGCCCTTCTCATCTGCCCCGTGAGAGCTCTAGTGCTCCACGGGAGAGATCGGGGCCGGTGGTTCTAAAGGAAATAGAGTCGCAAGACATTCAGGATGGGATTCGGGGTTTGGAGAGTGATGATGATGTTCCAGAAGAAGACGACTTCACTCTGTTTGAATCAATGTAGATGGCTGTACCGTCCTTAAAAAAAGTAACACATCCCCCGAAAATAAGCCCTAGGGTGTCTTCTTGAGGAAAAATAAATAGAAGACCCTGTCTTATTTTGGGGGAAACATGATAATTTCGAGGCTTCGCTCCTGGGGTACCAGATTCTGGATGTTAAGGACAGACGGGATGCTATGTGTGGGATTACTCCACTATGTCAGATACGCTGACAAAAGACTTAGGACCAAGAGACAGATAAAAACCCCACCTGCATCAGCTTGGTGTCATGTCCGGTGTAGACAACGATCCCATGGACCCACTGGGTGTTTCTCAGCTGAGCGCCTCGGAGAAGGATCTGATCGGCCCCGAGCGGGACCGTGCTAGAACAGACGGGTGGAGACGTCAGGAACGCCACTTCCGGAAGGGCCTCAAGAACCCTACACTGACACCATGCAGCTTCAAAAAGTTCCACTGTTAAAATAACCCTTCTCGCATTGACCTGCAAATTTACTGATAAACGTCCAATGAACAGTAAAGCATTTTTTGCAGCTATCCATCCCTCCTAATTTAAAACCGTACTTTCAACAAATAAGGCACAGGCTGGGGTATTTTGCAGGTTTTGCACAAGACCGTCCGCTCTGCTAGGTTGCTGGCTGATACAAACTCATACTGGGATTTAAGGAGGAACAAACTCTCACAGACGTATTGAGTTCTTGACAGACATGTGATATATACAATTTAATGGCTCAAGGATTCCTATGACCAATTCTTCACTTTAATAAGAAAAAAGGCAAAAAAAAAAAAAAGAAAGAAAGAAAGAAAAGAAAAGGCAAATATAAAGAAAAATACATTTAAAAACCTTCTGGAAAAGGAAAGAAATGATTCTATAAGAAAGTCTGTTGCACAATTGACGACTGCAAAGCTGTGGAAACAACCCAGGTGCCTGTCAATCCATGAGTAGATTAATAAAATGTGGTGTATATGTACACCATGGAGTACTTATTCAGCTGTAAACAACGGTGATCCAGCACCTCTTGTATTTTAGTGGATGGAGCTGGAACCTATCCTAATAAGTATGCTAAGAATGGAAAAACAAGCACCACATGTACTCACCAGCAAGTTGGTATTAACGGATCAACACCTAAGTGGACACATAGGAGTAACATCTATCGGGTGTCGGGCAGGTGGGAGGGGGTGGAGAGGAGGGGTGTATACACACATAATGAGTAAGATGTGCACCGTCTGGGGGATGGACACGCTTGAAACTCTGACTCGAGAGGGGAGGGGGACATGGGCAATACACGTAACCTTAACATATGTATCCCCATAATATGCTGGAAAAAAAAAAAGAAGGAAGTCTGCAGAGAACACAGGACTTTCTTGTAATGGGAGGAAAAGTGAGACAGAGGCATCCTTTATATCCGGTGGCTTCTGTGGCCCAACAGGCCTGTAAGGCCAGCGGCCCCGTGGGCTTTGAACGTCTTGCAGGAGCTACACGAATTCTAGCAGCTCAGGTAAAATGGACCCCGGCAGGCGGGCAGGTGACAACAGCAGGTGAATGAACTGTCAGGAGATAGCATATTCCTAAAACTACAACTCTCATTCTTCATGTAGACCGTTATGCCTTCGGGACCCATCTGGAAGGGAATTCCCCCCCCCAAACCCCCTGGTGTGTGCGTCAAGATTCGGGGTACACTTCAGAGTTGGGAGGGGCCTTGGGCTTAAACCGGCTTTCCAAGAAGTTGCTGGAAAGTTGCTGGGCTGAGCTCTTGGGCTGAGCATGCATGTCTCAAGTGTGGTTCACCCACCCAGCGGAGCGTGACACACTGCTGGCAAACTCACACCCCCTCCACATCTGTGTCGTCGTGCCGACAGGAATTAGGTACAAACTCTTCAAAAGCAAAATGTGCGGTGGCTCACGCCCGTCATCCTAGCACTCTGGGAGGCTGAGGCGGGAGGATCGCTCGAGGTCAGGAGTTCGAAACCAACTCTGAGTGAGAGTGAGAGACCCCTGTCTCTACTATAAATAGAAAGAAATTAATTGGCCAACTAATATATATGTAGAAAAAAAAAATTAGCCGGGCATGGTGGCGCGTGCCTGTCGTCCCAGCTACTCGGGAGGCTGAGGCAGGAGGATTGCTTGAGCCCAGGAGTTTGAGGTTGCTGTGAGCTAGGCTGACATCACAGCACTCACTCTAGCGTGGGCAACAAAATGAGACTTTGTCTCAAAAAAAAAAAAAAAAAAAGATTTGGGGTGCACTTCAGAGTTGGGAGGGGCCTTGGGCCTAAACCAGGTTTCCAAGAAGTTGTTGGAAAGTTGCAGGGCTGAGCTCTTGGGCATGCATGTCTCGAGTGTGGCTCACCCACCCAGCGGAGCGTGATACACTGATTGCAAACTCTCACCCCCTCCACATCTGTGTCGTCGTGCCCACAGGAATTAGGTACAAACTCTTCAAAAGCAAAACATGCTGCTTTTCGATTACAAGGACTCAAGAGGAGGTAGTTCCTGTTAGTTCCATCGCAGAGGGAATTCCGGGGCTCCTGGCATTAGCCGGTGACCCCCCATGTCCTGAGCTACCAAAGCACGCTCACTCCAAAGGGTCTCCAAGAGCTCTGGGTGCCGTAAGACACAAAGCTAAATGTGCTACAAACGCAAAGGTCTTGCAAATCTGCTTCTGCCTTTCACATCTAATAAAGCACGTTAGGCAGATTTTATCTGCACCCTGGATCTCGGCACCATCCTACCAAGTTTCTCCTTCACTGCGTAGATTCGCTTAGGCGTCAATGTGATGGAAAGCTGACACGGAGTGGAAGCTGTCCAGCAAGGAACATGGGACCGGAGGAACACTGCTTGTATCAGTGGCCAAATCTACCATCAGCCTACAACCCCGTATGTTCATGGAAGGATCACTCTGTGCGAATTCTGGAACATGTATAATCACTTCAAAGATTACGAAAGGAAGCTTCTGGAGGGTCTCAATGAGGATGACAGTTCAGGGCACGGCTCCGACTGTCCTTCAGAATCCTAACACTCCTCACTGCTTCCCTAGAAAGAAATGCCAACAGTGCTCTACCTCCAAAAAACCACAATGAGATATCACTTAACCCAGGAGAATGGCGTTTACGCAACAAAGTCCCCAAACAACAAATACTGGCGTGGATGCGCGGAGAGGAGAGGAACACTCCTACACTTGCCTGGTGGGACTGCAAATCTAGTTCAACCGCTGTGGAAAGCAATATGGAGGATTAGCCTGTAAAGCAATATCAAGGATCTACCCATTTGATGCCAGCAAATCCCACTACTGGGGGCATCCTGACCAAAAGAACCAAGTGACACGTGCTACAAAACAGAACACCTGGCACTTGAATGTGAATAGCAGCCCAATTCACAAATTGCAAAGATGTTAAGACGAACAAAGTGCACCATCAAGTACACGAGTGGATGAATATAAATTGGCCTAATTGTAACTACCATGGAGTACTACAGCTCTAAGAAACAACGGTGACTAGCACCCGTCTTGCATATGCCTGGGCAAGAGCTGGAGGCCCATCTACTGAAGTGAAGTTTCCCAAAATGGAAAAACAATGCACACATGTACCACCCAGAGCAGAACTAGGTATTAACTGATCAACCACCTAAGTGGACAGTGACAGGAATAACGAGCGATTGGGCGTGTCAGCAGGTGGGGGGGAAGGAGGGGAGGAGGTATCCACACATCACAATGAAGATTGCATAGTGAGAGTTTGACAGACCTAGTATCGGGGCCAAAAAGGAGATCACATATACAAGATTGTACTGTCACTAAACAATTCTCGATGGCGGAGTGCGGGGGTTCACACCTGTCATGCCTAGGCACTCGGAGGCCCAACGAAGGAGGAGTATCGCGTCAAGTCAGGGAATTTGAAAGCAGCCTGAGCGGAAGAGGTGGAGACCCTGTCCTCTATCTAATAGAAAGAAAGCAAGTTGAGCTAACCTAAAAATAATAAGATAAAAAAAATAGCTGGGCATAGGTGGCATGCCGTGTAAGTCCCAGCTACTCATGAGGCTGAGGAGGAGGATTGGCGTTGAGTCCCAGGAGTTCGGAGTTGCCTGTGAGCTAGGCTGACGCCACGCAGCGGAGCCCGGGTGACAGAAGAGACCTCATCTCAAACAAAAAAGAATAAAAAAAGGGGGTGTGGGGGGCGAGTCTTCCACACCACACGAATACGGATAAGATCCAGAATTTCCACACAAGGACTTGGCGTAGGATATAAAAACGCTACAAAAAGGGGTTTTCAGTATTGCAACTCAGTGCCCAAGAAAACAGTATGTGCCCAGTGTTGGATAGGGCATCCATGCAAAGATCACACCGACACAGCGACGATCCTGTGTGTTGTGCACGAGTAGACTGCGATTACACTAACGCCGATGGCCAGGATCGAGGCCGTGAGTGTTCCAACGAAATCGTTAGAGAGGTGGCATTTGGACCCTGTCGCTTCGATTCTGCCAGAAAATGTCGCATTAAGGAGTCGATGTCCTTTTATATCATAGGTTCTGAAGGCCCGCCTGGTTAGAAATTTTTAAATAAGCAAAGAGGACATTCAGTAAGGTGTGTTGGGGGAAGAAGAGGGAGGAATTGCTGTAGGTCCGGCAGGTGCTTTTAAGGACTAAGGGATCCCATTATGGTATTTAGTTAACTCTTCTTCACGGCCAGGCACGCGGTGGTCCCCGGGGGGAGGGGGCAAGGAGCGCCGGCAAGGATGCGTGAGGCATGAGGGAGGGGACGCTCGCTCGCGAGGGTGTGGGAGGGGGCCAGGGGCTAGGAGACGCTAGTCGAGTGCGGTTTTACAAGAGGTTCAAAAATGGTAGTTGCATAGGACCGCGGTAGGGGCGGAGCCGAGGGAGAGGAGAGAGGCGAAGCGCGCGGGGGAAGAGGAATTCGTAGTGTGCTACAGAAGAAATAAAATAAAGTGATGGGTAGCACCGGATATCGAGGGCGCTGAGGGCGGCTTCGCAGTCGTATAAAGGGAAAATTTGAGTGAAAAAGGATGGAATGTCTATGGGCAAAGAGAAGGTAGCGCGGGTGGTGTCGCCGAAAGGGAAGACCCGGGGTTATCCCATAAAATTTCAGCCGCCATGCAAGGAGCCTATTAGCATTGTTGTTTGTTGGTGGCCATGAGAATTCTATTTTACCGTCCGGAAATAAGCCCGGATGTGTGTTTGGTCTTGCTAGAAAAACCAGCCCTAGTGATGGCGTTGGCATGAAAATCAGCCCTTGGTGATGGGTGCATGGTATATAAATATTAGCCCCCTTAGGTGTGGCGTGTGCTATGAAAAAAGCCCTTGAGGTGATCGGCTGCGGGCTATTGAATAATCAGCCCCTAGTGATGGGCGTGGCTATGAAAATCATCCTAGTATGGAGGGGCGTGGCTATAAAATGCTAACCCTAGTTGATGGGGCGTTGGCTGCGCAGCGTCCGACCTGCACAACCCATGCTGATGTTTGGTCGCGGAGCCGGGGAAAAGAACACCGAGCAGTGTTGTCCCTTCTCATTCCGCTTTCTCCGTGAGAGCGCTTAGTGCCCTCCCAAGGTTGAGAGTCGGGCCAGTGGCTAAAGGAATATAGAGTCGTAAGACATTCAGGATGGATTCGGGTGGTTGGGGAGTGAGGAGATTGTTCCAGTAAGCAAGCACGATCTGTCACTTATTTGATCAATTTGTAGATGGCTCTTTACCTGTACTTAAGAATAAAATAACACATCCTTGAAAATAAGCCCGTATGGTGTGTTTTTTGAGGGAAAATAAATATAAGACCCCGTCTTATTTTTTCAGGGAAGCACGGCAGCACTACACAGGCTGAGTCTGTCTTCTCTAACAAAATGGGATGAAAAATGGATGAATCTATGTTCAAAGAAAGTCGTTTTCTTTATTTCCTTTTCCTTCCCCTCCCTCTTCCTTCCTCCCTCCCTCTCTTCCCTTTCTTCCTTTCTTTCTTTTCCACTGAGAAGGGAAATTCCAACAGGTTCTTCCCTGCGGCCAATGAGAAGTGACTGACACTGAGCTCGCCCCCTCCCCCTCTGGCACCTGTGTCTAGGTGCTCTGTGATGACCCAGGTCTGCCACCTCCCAGTCCTGCCACGGGCCATTTTCATCACTGGCTGGAACCCAAGGGCATACATTTTTAAGTGCCTTTTAAAACTCCAAAAAATTTTCCGGTTGTTTTCTGCTAGAGATGGTACGAAAAGTAAACATAGAAATACAAACTAATCTCCGAGACAAACAGGGTTTTGGAACCGCAATAGAAACTATGGCTCTCTAATATGGCAAAGCCAAATAATTATTTGGGCTGGGTGCACAGGGCAAATAAATAAGCTAGCACACGTCAAAGCACTTAGAGCTACTACGATTACCTGAGTGCTGGCCAGTACATGAAGGCATTTAAGATATTACGAGAAGTAACTATACAATCAATGGGTCATGTTGCATCAGGCAAGTAAGTCCGAGTCTTCCGTATTACTTAACACACCACCGGCTTATAAGCCATCTATCTTCACAGTGGTTCGGTGAGAAAATATTTGCAATTAGACGTACTTCAACTCAAGACAACAGCACTGAGAAAGCAGCTCTTAATTCCCTACGATAAAATAGCAATTATAGGCCGGGCGCGGTGGCTCACGCCTGTCATCCTAGCACTCTGGGAGGCCGAGGCGGGAGGATCGCTTGAGCTCAGGAGTTCGAAACCAGCCTGAGCATGAGGGAGACCCCGTCTCTACTAAAAATAGAAACAAATTAATTGGACAACTAAAAATATATATAGAAAAAAAAATTAGCCGGGCATAGTGGTACAAGCCTGTAGTCCCAGCTACTCGGGAGGCTGAGGCAGGAGGATCGCCTGAGCCCAGGAGTCGGAGGTTGCTGTGAGCTAGGCTGATGCAACGGCACTCACTCTAGCCCGGGCAACAGAGTGAGACTCTGTCTGAAAACAAAACAAAACAAAACAAAAAACCAGCAATGATAGTATAAACCCGTAGGAGCTCTGCTTACCTGTCTAATCTTCAGGTTGGTTTCGCCGTCTAAGTTAGAGGTTTCAATGTAGCACATGGCTTGAGGCTCGCTGTGGTCGGGGAGGGGGAGGGGGGTGAGAAGTGCAGAGGTTTAGTGGAGGGAGGCGGGCATGAGAACACCACCTTATTTAAATGCCCAGACTCTGCTGAAGCCTTCCCTTCTAGACACAGTGGCTGTCACCGAGCTTCCTGACAGCTTGCAATCCAACAGCAAGGGGCAGTGAGGCAGAGCCCATGCATGACAACTCATGCATCAGCTTTGCAGCCAGAGGGGCCCAAAAGCCACTTCCTGACAGCAATCCGTAACGGCCTTCCAGGTGATGCAAAGGGATTTGTCACATCTCACTTAAATCGTTCAGACACAACACGGCCTGCACCCGGAACGTGAAGCAGCTTGTGTCCAGACTTGTCTTTAGCTCAAAACACATCCAGTGAGATTTCATGCTCACGGCCCACATGGCAATTGGTGAAGAGAGGCGGTTGATTAGAAAATTCCAGACGGCCCCAGCTACAAACTTGCACTGACTCCCCTTTTTAGCTACGATGACGGATAGGAGTCTATGATCCCACAGAACTGAAATTTTAAGGTTACTTTTAAAAACCGTACGAACAAATCTGTACGGTTGGAAAGTGGATAGGCACTTTTCTCTCTTTATATTTTCCGCTTCTACTCTGACAGCAGCAAAAGCTAAAACTACCGTGTCTCCCCGAAAATAAGACCTACCCATAAAAGACCTACCCATAGGGCTACCTGAGCCCTAGCAGGATGTCTAAGCATGTGCACAACAAAAGCCCTACCCCAAAAATCAGCCCTAGTGATGGGCGTGGCTATGAAAATCAGCCCTAGTGACGGGCGTGGCTGCGCAGCGCATCTGCACAACCCATGCATGTCGTTATGGAGCGGGAAGGAATACGAGCAGCCCTTCTCATCTGCCCCGTGAGAGCTCTAGTGCTCCACAGGAGAGATCGGGGCCAGTGGTTCTAAAGGAAATAGATGCAAGACATTCAGGATGGGATTCGGGGTTTGGAGAGTGAGGATGATGTTCCAGAAGAAGACAACTTCACTCTATTTGAATCAATGGAGATGGTTGTACTGTGCTTAAAAAAGAAAAACAACACATCCCCTGAAAATGAGCCCTAGGGTGTCTTCTGGAGGAAAAATAAATATAAGACCCTGTCTTATTTTGGGGGAAACACGGTAAAATCTTCTGTCAGTTTTGCCTTACTGCTCTTGGAACTCAGCCTAGAAGATCCATGTCATGGTCCCCACCAGTGTCATGGTAACGTCTGGTGGGCGGTGACAGGCAGAAGGGGCCTGTGTTCTCCACTTTTGTCTAAGGTGTCCCTCCCTAGAATGTCCTAAGCTCCTCCGCCTCACCTGCATATCTACCTGCCCAGCAACTACAGACACGTGAGTTTGTAGCCCAGCCGTATAATCCGATCCTCAACTCTACGGGAAAAGCATCCTGAAATCCATCTCATTACAGCCCCTGGTTATGGAACAAGCCTAATCTTACTGACGTCCTATCAGTAACTATGAATTCGACCTCTGAGAAGCATGTGTCCTTGAAGCTAGAAATAAATTTACAAGTGACGAATCCCTGGAATTTTCTCATCAACTTCCAGTTTGCCCATGTGCAGAACCGGCCGTTCCACGTTTCGGAAATTGGCATTTGGCTGAATTCTGTGGCCTGAAATTTGTGCAGACTGCTTAAACACGTGGACATTCATCAAATATTTAACAGATTTGTTTTTTTATTTTTTTTATTTATTTTTTGAGACAGAGTCACGCTTTGTTGCCCAGGCTAGAGTGAGTGCCGTGGCATCAGCCTAGTCCGCCAAGCCCACTCCAGACACATCGCTGGCCTCGTGTCCTCTTCATTAACACAAACTTTTTTTTTTTTTAAGCTTCTCGTGATAGACCACTTGGCTACCTTCATGCGTTTCACGAACACATGTCGACGTGCCGTCTTCAATTGGACGGATTCCCAACTCCCTGTTCAAACCAAAGGATGTCTTAAGAGGCATGCCCTAAGGTAGACTTAATGTCCTCGCACCATATGATCCATATCCTATTAAAACATGCGCAAAAGAATGAAGGCTTGCTTCATCTGCCACCTCTCCAGGGTTTGCTTTGAACGATGTTGGTGAAGCAGTCATTGGAAATCGATGAAGATTTTTAAAAAAAAAACAAAAACAGATTTGATCACTTCTAATTTTCTGCGATTCAATAAACCACCCTTTCAGAGATGACCATGCTGTCATTGCTGGGCTTGCAGTATAAAGGTGCAAAAGGACCCCAACCTACCCACGCCGCCCGCCAAGGCTGCTGTGTTGTGCATTTTCACGCATGCCGGTCAGTTTCATCCCACTGCTACATGACAAAGTGCACCGTTACTGGATCCATGTCAGCTGTCGGTTATGTCTGGTCCGTGCTGTGCATCTGTTCATTTACCCCACCTAATCCAAAGCTTGCTTTGGGCCTCTCCGACAGTTCGGTTTTGGATGTCTTGCATTTGCCGAAGCCATGCTATCTAGCATGGCTTGCCCGTCCTCTGAGTCCTTCTTGCTGCCTTTCGTAGCACAAGAACTGCGCATCGTTACAAGCTGTCTAAAAAGTATTATTAAGAATCAGGAAACTGGATGCATTGTTTTCATTATCGACCTTAAGAATGTAAGTCATCATTAAAACTTCCTGAGTCCTAGCCATTATTGAAGTCTTAGACAGTACTTATGAGAGAGGGAAAACAAAAAGTAGAATCGAATTATCCCTAGCTCATTTTAATAATGGCTGGCTGGGGATAAGCCTATTGAGACAGTAAACTTAATGCATTTTACGCCGATACTGTGAACAACTTGTCAGGCGACCATGGTTTGCCTGCCATCATGCTTCCTGTGACCAGAGTGTGTGTATAAATCCATAAGCTATTCAGATGTATGCATAAAGAAATCACAAATTAGACAATTCCAAGCTCAAATTTACTATGTGACAGTGATCAAAAATAAAATTTTGAATAATTGATAGAAGTTAAAATGTAACACCAAACAACTTCTTCATTGGGAAAAATAGGATCCTTTACAAAAGAAAGCCCAGAGAGTAAATTGGAAGAACTGAGGTCAGGAAGGTACTTAAAAGAATCTGTGGCCGGGCCAGATGGCTCATGCCTAATCCTAGCGCTCTGGAGAAGGGGGAGGACTGCTTCAGTCAGGAGTTCGAGACCAGCTCTGACAAGCAGCGAGACCCCGTATCGTACTGTAAATAAGAAAGAAATAAGGCCAACTAACATATATATATGAAATACCGGGTTGTGGTGGCACATCCTATCCCCAGCTATCGGGAGGCTGAGGCAGGAGGATCGCTTGAGCCCCAGGTCGGAGGTTGCGTGAACGA